GCGAATTTTCAGGATGTTGTTCCCAAAATATTGTAATTGGGCAACAAGGGGAGTGCCAGAGGAGGACAGACATCTTGCTAATTACTGGCTGGTCTGCAGAGAGCTGTGGTCCCTGTTCTTACACCAAAGGAAGGCTTGCAGACTCTAGGTCCATCCACCTCACTACAAATAACTCAATTTTGTTTCTTTTTATGGCTGAGTAATATTCCATTGTGTATATGTGCCACATCTTCTTTATCCATTCCTCTGTTGATGGACACTTAGGTTGCCCTAGAGTCTGTCATACAGAGTGAAGTAAGTCAGAAAGAGAAAAACAAATACCGTATGCCAACACATATATATGGAATCTAAGGAAAAAAAAAAAAGGTCATGAAGAACTTAGGGGTAAGATGGGAATAAAGACACAGACCTACTAGAGAATGGACTTGAGGATATGGGGAGGGGGAAGGGTAAGCTGTGACAAAGTGAGAGAGTGGCATGGACATATATACACTACCAAACGTAAGGTAGATAGCTAGTGGGAAGCAGCCGCATAACACAGGGAGATCAGCTCGGTGGTTTGTGACCACCTAGAGGGGTGGGATAGGGAGGGTGGGAGGGAGGGAGACGCAAGAGGGAAGAGATATGGGAACATATGTGTATGTATAACTGATTCACTTTGTTATAAAGCAGAAACTAACACACCATTGTAAAGCAATTATACCCCAATAAAGACGTTAAAAAAAAAAAAAAAAAGGAAGCTTTGCAAACAGGGCATTACTGCCGGAAAACACAACCACTCCCAACTACCCTACCTTTCATTTTTGTTTTTAGAAGAAATGTCTGTTTCCATATGCCCTTCCAATAGGGCTCTCAATTCAGCCAGAGATGCCTGTGAGGCCCATCTCTTCACTGATTTATGTATTTTAGCCACAATTATGTTATGGGATTTCTATTCACTGCAGATCAGCTTGCGTGATCTTTGTTCCCGGGTCGAACCCATGCACCCTGCAGTGGAAGCCTGGAGTCCTAACCACTGGACTGCCAGGGAATTCCCAATACTTATTTCAATTTAGTCTGAAAATGGTAGAGAAGATTCAGGTGTTCATATTGACTAATAAACTGGTATATAGGAAGGGTGTTGATCATTTGTGCCAATTTTATGGAAGTGACAAGGGATATAAGTTGTCTACTTATAAATATGGAGTTTCTGATAAGCATCTCCAAGGACATTTTCTTGATATACCTTCTGTCCTGCTTCTAGTAGGGAAATGTTTCATCAATTGGGAAGATCTGATAGTGAGAGATGAACAAGCATAGTATATTTTATCTCTGGACTCAATATGTCAATATTAAAGAGAGTTTAGCTATTGATTTTTTTTTTTTTTGCAAAGACTGTCAGCAGCTTGTATACTGTGCTCATGACATACGATAATAAACAGTAAAGGGACTTCCCTGGTGGCACAGTGGTTAAGACTCCACGCTCCCAATGCAGGTGGCCCGGGTTCCATCCCTGGTCAGGGAACTAGATCCCACATGTATGCCACTAAGAGTTTGCATGCCACAACTGAGGAGCCCGTGTGCCACAACTAAGGAGGCCTTGAGCCACAAATAAGGAGCCCTTGAGCTGCAACTAAGGAGCCCTCGAGCCGCAACTAAGATCTGGTGCAACCAAATTAATTAATTAATTTTAAAAAATAGTAGAGTATAGAGGAGAATACATTGAATCAAAGAAGGACAAAATAAATGACACACGGTAAATGCTTAAACATATATTGTTCACAAAACCCTAAGAGTGAATTGGAACTCTGGGAACAGAGAGAGAATTCCTTAAACTTTATAAGGCAGCCTTGGGAAGTTGAATGGTATACTTATTTTTTAAGCATATCTGGCATCATTATAATTGACCAAATAAATTACTGGCTGCACATCACACCTTTTTCACTCCCACCTCCCTCAAGCTCTGAACCACATTATTCCTGTGCCCTTTGACTCCTAAATTTTTTTACTCTATCTGCTAGTTCTCATGTAGCCACAGGAGAATCAACTGTGAATATGTATTGGGAGGTGGTATACGCAGTGATTAGATGGATATTCCTGAAAAAACACCAGGGTTCAAGTCCTGGCTCCACCTGAAACCAGCTGTACAACCTTAGGTGAGTGACTTATCCTCTCTGAGTCTCAGACTCCTTATCTGTAAAGTGGAGATAATAATCGTGTCTACCTCACAGGGTTATTGTGAGAACTAATTAGGTAATCTACATAAAGGACTCGGAAGAGTGCCCACTGGCATATTGTTAGTATTCAATAAATAATAACTGTTCTTATATATACATATATTTTGCTTAACTCTTGACAGCTGAATTTGTTGAACTTCAGTGTGTGTGTGTGTTTAATGATTGCATGAGTTGAGTTTTGCTTTGGTTACAACTAAAGTTAAGTTGCTTTGGCCGAATGAACGTGTATCAGCTTGTGGGAGGAGATGGTCCTCCAGTGTGGTATGAGACAGATGGAGTTATTCCAGGATTAAAATACATCTACTAAGAGGATAGTCTCCATGCAGACATCCAGTTGGTTTTATACACTTTATGGAGTGATAACCCATAAGTCCTCCAACAGACACTTTTCTCGCCCAAACCTAAAACATTGCTTCAAGGTGAAATTACTAGACTCAAATGCCATGAGCTCACTTGTGAGTATGCCCCCTGCCCACCCAGGGTACAGAAAATTCACTCCATATATGCCCATTTTCTCAAGAGTGCTGTGGGTGAAGCAGTCCACCTAGAATGCTTCTAGAAAAGGGACCTCCTGTATACATCCAAGATAAAAGAGCCACTTTGATGGCGGGTTATGTTTAGACTTTGTTTTCTTCGTGCTAGCCAGTCCCTAGCCCCTTTCTCCTCAAAATCTCCCCAATCCAGTTGTCATTCTAGATTGTCTACCCCACATCAACTGAGCCTCCCCTTCTTCAACATCCCTGCAAGCCTCAACCACTCTCATTTTCCTTACTTCTGGAAATGTTTCTCCAAACCATGCCAAGTTGAAAGGGGCTCTAGCTGCCTAAAGTTCAGCCCGTGTGTTGGCAGCTGTGAGGAGGGAGTTTTCTTTGATCCACCTAATGAATTAATGAATTAAACAGAGGTGGAGTTCAGAAGCCAGGCTCCTTGCTTTTGCCGAAACTGGGTTGGGTATGAGCTGGCGTAACTGCTGGAAAAATGCAGCTTTGGGCTAGAAGAATTAAGGACATGGACGAATCCATTCATCTTCCCTAATCGAGTTCTTGGGAAATACACATGTAGATTAGCCCCTAACAATGACCCCCGGCTGATTGCTTGGAGTACCCTCCACTGTGCCCACAATAGTATTGACTAGCTCTTTATGTCACGTACAAAAGAAGTCCCAACCTCCCCTTGTCCTGCTTTGCCCTGTTTCCCCCGTGGTCCCTCGCCAGTGGCTGTTGAAGTCTTTGCTGCTTTTCTCCTGAGACTCTGAAATAAACAGTAAATAAAAGCTAACCTCACCTGGACCTATTAGGGAGAGCTGGGCAGTTCCAGAGGGAATTAACTTTGGAAAACAAGGCCATAAGCCCCTTAGCGTGTGGGCAGGAGCTTTGTTTAGCAGTGATTATAGAGATCAGTTTAATATTGGGGGAGTTTACATAAAAAGCATACTCAGAGGGGAAACAGCAAATACCAATTAATTATCCCTATGGCTGCCCTCTGGTCACCAAGGCGGCAGCATCTCAACCACCTGGCCTTTGTAACTGGTTCGTGGGACCTTGTGGGGTGCCACCAGATCGTTTTGGGGGAGAGTGCCTTTGACAGCCTAGAAAATGCAAAAAGAGGCCAAGTGGCAGGCTTCCCCTGCACTGGGGCGGGAACCTCCAGAGGGTTCGTCCTGTCGTCCTGGACACCAGCGCCCAAAGGCCACTGTCTACAAGCTCTGACTGCGTTTCTTTGGGAAACTAAGCTGCCTCTTCCTCAGCCTCTTACGTGCAGGATCCAGTCTCCAGGAAGGATTAAAGACGGACTGCAGACTAAGATGTGTTTTGATTCTGTTCAAAAATATCACACTCTGCCGTAAGAATTACAAATGAGGGGCAGCCAGAGAGCACTGGACAAGGAGTTGGCCACTCTGAGTTCCAGTCCTGTCCCTTCCACTTAAGAGCTGTATCACTTTGAGCCTCAGTTTTCTCTTCTGTAAAATGGGGACAAATATGTTTGTCCTGCTCACCTCACAGGGTTGTGAGGCTAGGATGGCATGAAGAATGTGCTGAATACCATAAAGTGATACACAAAAACTGTAGTGTGTATTGATTTTCATTAATTTAGCTTTTACTTGAAAAATAATTTCTCACTTGAATCAGCAGCTTAATTCTACCTACTGTAAACTCACGTTTGCTGTTTTAATACACCTTTTTACAGTTTTATTAAAAATAGAGAAATTGGTGTACTGAACCCCTCCCATGTGCCCATCACGGAGAAATAACCATTTCCATTTAAAGATCCTTAACATAGTTACATGTCCTTTTAAATGTCCTTCTAACATTCATTTAAAGGTGGAGGACCCTAAGATACAGGTTTTTCTTTGGTTTCCTTTGTCTTGTCTCTCAGGCTGGACGTTAAACTCCTTAAGGCCTGTGGCCCCAGCCTCTCTTTTCTTTTGTGATGTTGACATGGCCCATATCAGTGCCCGACCCTCAGAAGGGACCCATGAACTGCTCGTCTCAATGCAAAATGAAGTCAACCAACGTTGTAGAGGCAGGGGTGGGGGGAAGGGGAGACGCCCCTGCGTGGAGATCAGAGGGCCTCTGCAAAGGAGATTTTAAAAATCTCTGTTTTGTATCTCCATGAGATGATGGATGTTAACTAAACTTACTGTGGTCATCATTTACGTGTGTATATGTGTCAAATCATCACGTGGCACACCTTAAACTTATACAGTGCAGCATCTCAATAAAACCAGGAAACAAAAGAAAAAGAATCTCTGGGTCCTGCAGATTTTATTAGGAAAGCATTTTGGTTCACATTTCCCGCCAACATTTCAGTGAGGGCAGGGGCTGCCTCTGGCATCAGCTTTGAGAAGAGCCGGCGTTTACAGTGCTGTTCACAGCACTGGGGGGGATGTGAAGAAACAAAACAAAACCATCCGCCCGCACAAATCATCTTCCCACTTGGCCTATGAGTCACTCTGGGCCTCGGAAGCCTCGCGGGGTCCCCTTTGCCAGCGGATTGTGCCTATAGCCCCCAGAGAAGCGCGAGGCCTTGCACCCTGACGAAGGTCCTTCCCCCCTCAGCCTGAGGTTGGGTCATCTCCTTGGCCTGGAAGATAGTTTGGAGGGAGGGTTCCCTCAGGACAAATAGTCTGCGAGGGTGACAACCCCTAGCGGGTCTCCCACCGGCTTGAGCCCGGCAGCGTGTCCGATTCGGCGCCTTCCAGCCTCCTGCTGGGCCGTGGGACCCTTGAAGTCGCCAGGCCTGCGAGCACAGATGGTCCCACCGTCTCCGGGGGCGGGCGCCGGGGTCAGGGGGCCTGCGGGCGCGCAAGTACGAGGGGGCAGGGAGGAGTAGTTAAATCAGATGTAGACAAACAAAATAAACCCGAAGTCCGAGGCTTCGGACTACGGAGCCGAAAGAGGATTGCCGGTGGGGCTAAAAAGAGGAAGAAAGAGGGGAAAATTCAAACTGGGAAGAAGCGTGGACTGACTTCCAAAGCCAGAAAGCCGGGGAGCCTGCTCTCGGTCTTTCCAAGGGTCGCCCCTGGCGCTCAGCCCGGCGCAGGAAGCGCGCCTCGGGGCAGAAGGAGAGCCTGGGCCGGGGGAGAGGAGCCGAAGGAGGGAGGCAAGCCCGAGGGGAGGTGGAACCGAGGGTGTCGGTCCCACTGAGGCAGGACTGCGGGGAGCGGGCCCTCGGACCCGGGTCCCCGGGCCCGTCAAACATGCCCCAGAGGTCTCAGCAGTGTTCGGAGCTGATCGAGAGGTGGGAGGTGGAAGGTTCGGAGTGCCGGCCCAGCCCGGGGTGGGTGGGCGAGGACCCTGAGGCTGGGCGAGGGAAGGACCCGCCCCACTGCGGGGGGAGGGACCAGGGAAGAGGCTGGGTAGCGGGCGAGAGGGGAGGAGCCGGGGCGACCCGGCTTGGAGCCTTCAGCTCCCGGAGACCCAGCCGCCGGGAGTTGAAACTCCGACTCCCGCCGGGACCTAGGCGGCCGCGGGCCGAGCGCTCGCCCTCCTCTAGCGCGCGCGGCCGGGGCCCGCATCGCCCGCGGAGCTTGACCTTGAGTCAGGACCCCTCGGGTTGGGCGACCGCACCCGGGAGGGGCCGACTTCCAGCTTCTCGCTCTCGGTCTTCCAAGCAGGCGGCGCTGCGGAGAGCGCGGGCCGCGCCCTCCGGCGTCCCGGCGCTCCCCATGCACCTGCCCGGCTGCGCCCCAGCCATGGCCGACGGCAGCTTCTCGCTCGCCGGCCACCTGCTTCGCAGCCCGGGCGGAAGCACCTCGCGGCTGCATAGCATCGAAGCCATCCTGGGATTTACTAAGGACGACGGGATCCTCGGTTCCTTCCCGGAGGAGCGGGTCGCCCGGGGTGCGAAAGAGCGGGATAGGAGGCCGGGCGCGCGGACCTCCTGCCCCAAGGCGCCTGCAGGAGGCGCCGAGCCCTCCACGCCGCCCGCCCCGGCACCGGCTCCCGAGTACGAAGGTGAGTACGCACCCCGGCTGCTCCGAGACCCTTAGGGCTCCCAGACTTAGGAGCTCTGCAAGAGGAGAGAGCCCTGCCTTAACATTTATTAAGGCATCTGGGCGCAGGGGTGGGGGCTATATGCGTAGCAGGAGCTTCCAACTTGCGTTCAGGGAAAGTTAAGGGGACCCTCGCAGCCCTGACCCCCGACCTCCCTGGGCCATCTCGGAGCCCGCATGGGTAGGAGGGGTGGCCTTCGGATACTCCGAGGAGTGTCTCTGACCGTGCGGGGTCTCGTCGTCCCAGCCCCTCGCCCCTACTGCCCCAAGGAGACAGGGGAGGCGCGGCCGAGCCCTGGGCTGCCTGTCGGACCCCCAGCCCCCAGCGACTCGAAGCTGTCAGAGGAGGAGCAGCCCAAGAAGAAGCATCGACGGAACCGCACGACCTTCACCACATACCAGCTGCACGAGCTGGAGCGCGCGTTCGAGAAGTCCCACTACCCCGACGTGTACAGTCGCGAGGAGCTGGCCGGCAAGGTCAACTTACCCGAGGTCCGGGTCCAGGTAAAGCGCCCAGATGGGCCCACGGGAGGGCCGGAAGCTCAAGCTGCAGCCAAAGCTCCCTTGAATCCCCGGGCGTCCACACATTTATTATGGCACTTTTCCCACGGGCCTTCCTGCGCTTGGTTCGCCCAGAGCCCCACAGGAGCGTCACAGATTTTCCATGCGCCCCATGCCCCGTCCCTTGGACAGTCTGTTCCAATTTGTAGTAGCATCTCCCCTTTGGGGTCTCCCTCGTTCTAAGCTAAAAGAGAGGAACTGGGAATGGCTGGCAAGCTGAAGAGGCGACAACGTCCAGGACCGGGGCGGGGGGCGGGAAGCACTGAGTGGAGAGGGAATGTAGACAGCGGCTCGAGGGTAACCGGATTGCGGCCCCAAATGCCACCATAGTCAGTTACGGTGCTCACCTTCTTGAAAACGAAAACCCTATCTTCTTAACGAGAGCCTGGCGCCTCGCAGTTGAAACTTTCGGTGGATTTGTTTAAGAAACTGACTTTTGCTTCTCGGGTGCACATCCAGCCAAACTTCCCACTGCTGCAGAGGCCTTTTCTTTTTTATTTAAAGGGGTTTTCGCTTTAATTAAAGCTGAATTATCTTTAATCCCTGATCATTAAAATATTTGAAAGCCTTAAATATTTGCTAGTCATCTGTGAAAAATCCGGGAGAATTTCCAAATTGGGAGAGTTTACAGAGGCCTGAAAGGGAGACATTCGGAACAAATTTCACCGCATCTGAAAGGCAGTGGAACTAAGATGGGATTTTTGTGTGTGTCTAATGAATTAGATTTCCAGGAAGTGAGGATACTCAGATGTTTGGGGCTTTTAGCCTTGTCTTAAAAGTAAAAGCGGACAGGCTCCTGCCTTTTGTCTTTTCTGTTTAGTTTAAGGGGTTAAAGTAATGAGTAAATGTCATGGTTTTAAAAAATAGTTCCCTAATGTGACTCAGGATTAACTGGCAAGGACAGTTCAATTTCTCCTAATTTGGGGCAGTAGAGCTGCAAGGATTTCATTGAAGGGGCGGACATTTTAGCGCCTGCTTTTCAGGGAGGAATGATGGGGTAGGAAGAGGGAAAGAAAACAAGTGAAAGAGGAAGAAAGAGGAAAGGGCAAAGCCCTCCAGTGCCCCTCCGGAATACAGGGCTCCCTTCATGCCTCTGTCCCACGTTCCTTCCTCTCTACTTGTTTGGGGATGTTTGCTTCTTGTTTAAGATGTGAGCTTCTTGAGAACAGTGTCTGACTTCTCTGTGATCACAGGGCCAGCACAGTGGCCCAGCATATGGTGGGTTCTTAACACATGGGTATGATGTAATCAGGTTGCGGGGGGGGGGGGGGGTAGGCAGAGTCTCCCACTGTGTTGAGGACAGCAGTAGAGCAGAAGAGCAGACTATCCCAGGTTTTAGCCCTCTGACTCTGGATACTGGATCTGAAGCCTATAGCTGATACTTTGGGGGATGGAGTGGGATGTTGTTGGTGGGGAGGGAGAGGCAGTGGGATGGAAGCCCTCACCCGCGCCAGTGTTTCTCTATATAGCTAATGTTTCTGGGAAAATCAGGGCCTCAGATATGCTGATGAATCTTTTATTGAAAGGGACCCGGGGTACCTGCATTTTTGTTCTTTCTCTCTCCCCCCCCCTACCCCCCAAATCCCAGCCTTGCAGACAGTTGCCCTGCTCTGCTCAGGTGCTGGATGGCTTTTTCTCAGTTTTCCTATGAGGGCCCCTCTCCCTATAATTAACTCAGAACTGCTGTCTCCCTTCTGAGGTGGTAATTATTCCCACACTTTCCTTCATAAATTTAACACTGAAGCCCCCCCCCCAGTTTGGCCAAAGTTCTTTCTAGATTCCCCACTAAACTAGACCAGTTCTCTCTGTTCTGTTCCTGAGGGTGGTAAGTTGGTAGTGAAACCTTAATTACACCCTTTCTTGTGCTTTTATCAAATAGTAATGGAAGTTGCAGCCTTAAGAGACCAGACTTCACTCTTGGTGTGGACTTTCTCTATGTAAAGAAAAAAAGAAAAACTTGAACTCATTGAATTTATCTTAGGCTAACGTCAAAACTAACTCCACGGAGTAAAAGTAGATTATTAAACTTGAACTATTGTAATCATTGAAAGCCATTTTTAGGAAATATCAGAAATATTAGTCAGATATCGATTAAATAAAAATGAAAATCTCACGAACAGTAATATGCATATTAAATATGCCTGGAATAAAATCAACCCACTTTGTTCTATCAGTAATTTGTGGAAATAGCTCTATTTTAACAGCCAATGTTTCCAGTTACAGTACTTAGAGTATTTGTTTATACATATGTTTATAACAGGCAAAATGTGGGTAAAGCACAGAAAGTCTGCGACAAAAGCGCAGCCACTGTACCACACAGGGAGGAAGCCGGGTCTAAAGCGAAGGGTCGGGAGGGACCGTCAACCAGCAGGTCACAGAAATTTGGTGAGATCTGGTTTCCCAAGTCCCACTGTCCGATTCCAGGGTTAACTTCATTTTTTTCTGCCTGCTCGGTGCCAGGAGTTGGAAACAGATACAACCACAGCTAAGGGTGAGGTAAACAGGGACAAGGGTGGGAACACCACGGAGGACAGGGATGGGACAAAGAGACTCGGCGCGAGAGAGGAGGAGGGAGGAGACTGGAGCAAACGGGACAGACAAGAAGGATAAGGCGGGTGGGGAGCGTGGGGTGGCGGCGGGGATGAAAGGAGCAGGTGAAACTGTCGAGCCCCGGTCCTTCTCGGGGGTGGAGAGTTCTGCCCCCGCCGCAGCCCGACGGCGCTGTGCTGCCTTCCGCAGGTGTGGTTCCAGAACCGACGGGCCAAGTGGCGGCGGCAGGAGAAGCTGGAGGTGTCGTCCATGAAGCTGCAGGACTCGCCTCTGCTCTCCTTCAGCCGCTCCCCGCCCGCCGCGGCCCTGGCGCCCCTCGGGGCGGGCCCGGGCGGCGGAGGCGGCGGGCCTGCGGGGGGCGCCCTGCCGCTCGAGTCGTGGCTCGGGCCGCCGCTGCCGGGCGGGGGCGCCACGGCGCTGCAGAGCCTGCCAGGCTTCGGGCCGCCGGCGCAGAGCCTGCCCGCCAGCTACACGCCGCCGCCTCCGCCCTTCTTGAACTCCCCGCCCCTCGGGCCCGGCCTGCAGCCCCTTGGGCCGCCGCCGCCGCCGCCGCCGCCGCCCGCCTACCCGTGCGGGCCCGGCTTCGGGGACAAGTTCCCGCTGGACGAGGCGGACCCGCGCAACAGCAGCATCGCGGCGCTGCGCCTGAAGGCCAAGGAGCATATCCAGGCCATCGGGAAGCCGTGGCAGGCCCTCTAAGGGCACCGGGGACCAATTCAGGCCAGACGCCCGTCCTAGGAGCCGACCCCGAGCCGCAGGCGCTCACGCCTTCTCCCTGGGTCCCCCGGACTCGGCCACTCTTGCCCTGCGCCGCCTGAAGACCTAGGTCTAGGATGTGCATCTGCGCCCGACTCACCGCGGAGGGCTGACCCCCCAGGCCAGCCGAGACCTTCTGGCCACACCCACACTCCCACGGACCCCGGGCCTTGCTGCTGGAGGGGGACAGGCGGCCACGCTGCTGCCACCCCGGCGGGCGCCGGAGCCTCCAAGTTCAAGGTACCCAAAGCCCCTGACCTCGGCCGCTCCCGGGCGGCGTGGCAACCCCAGAAAAGGCCGACTGGGAGGAAGGGGAGGCGGAGAAAGTGTTTGAGGAACTGTCTGTAAAAGTAGTTTCGAAGAATTGAGGAGGAGAATTAAAGATTTACCTGTTTTGGTTTGACTCTGGTTAAGCGCGCTCAGGACTGCGGTGGCGGGGAGGAAGATGTGTGTATGAAGGAGGCTTCTGGAGGGGCTGCCGTGATGCATGTGGAGGGTGCGGGAAAGCAGAGGGCTGCGCAGGAGCTGGGGCTCCCTCCTGCGCATCCTCCTCGGGGAGCTGTGCTGCAGCGGAGAATCGCCAGCGTCCCAGACACAGCGACGCCCTAGACCAGAGCGCCCCTCTACCGGCACGGCGGGCGCCTGCGAGTGTGTGGGGTTCCGGGTGTCTGGAGCCTAAGGCTCAGCTGCCTGCGTGTTCCCAGCCCCTCGATACCCCAATAGCCGAGCTGCAGCTGCTACTTTGAAGGCCAGACCCTAGGAAGCTTCTACACCATCTTCCCAGGGTAAGACTTGAACTCCCCGAAGCTCCTGGCGGCCCCGCCTCCCTCTTTCCAGCCCGCCGCGGCCCCAGGCCCCTCTCAGATCATTGTCCAGGTCACCGGCTCGGGGCCCGCCCCTGCTACCCAGGGTTGATGACATTAGTGCTCCGAAGACTGGGGCAGAGCGACTTTTCCTTTTCTAAGCCCCGCGCCGCCCTCTCGCCTCCCCAGCTCGCTCCGCACCCGGCAACCCAGTGCTTCCGCTTGACGCGCGTCGGGCTAGCAGTCGCGCTCGGGGAGCGTGTCCTGGGGCGCTCTGAGCCGCGACCCGGAGGGCACATTCTCGCGGGCGCGTTGTGGACAGTATTGTGGCTCTTTGGCGCCGTCTCTGGGGGGCGGGAAAGCAATCCAGAAGTCTCCGCGGGCTTCAGAAGCTCCCGGGGTACTAGGCGGCGTCCCCGGGGCGAAGGAGAGCCCGGAACTCCCAGCCTGAGAGGCTGCGGTATGAATCGTCCGGATTCCCGCCGCGCAGGTCCTTCCGACCTATCTTGGAGTGCTCCCGGGAAGGCGCGGCCAGAGCCTTAGCGTCAACCAGCTCCTTACTGTCTATAGGTCGTTAGCACGTTAGTGAACCACCACAGCCCACTTTCCTCCTGTAAATGAGCCCCACCTCCCTGGGAAGTGGGAAAGATGGGTAGTTTACCACATTGTGTAAACTATACCAATGACCTGGTACGAAGCAATACACATTGTGATCCCGATTCTCTGATCCCGAGTATCCCTGTGCTGTTCTTGGGTTCCTGAAACCTACCTGGGAAAAGGAGGATTATCCCGGGGCTGGGAGTAGAGGGAGTGTCGTCACAGGATTCAGTCCCTGCCATGTGGGTCCTTAGAGGCTGTGGCATAACCAGAGCTGTGTACCCCTAGACCTTCACCTGAAGCCTAACACATAGTAGGCTGGTCAGGAAGAATTTATCGAACGGGTTATTTCCCCCAATAGGTAGGGAGTAATATATTGATACTTGCGCTTTTCTCTGACAAGGAGGTTCCATAGGGAAATGAATGGAGTGGCCCAAGCAATATCAGATCTTGGCATGAAAAAAAATAGGTAAACTCAGGATGGATGTGTAAGTAAATTTCTTTCACTTTGGCCTATCTTCTCTTTCATCCTTTAATGCCCTCGTTTTACTAGGAATGATTTATTCAGAGAACTTCCAACTTCAGTGGCCCTGAAGTTGGAAGTCCAGAGGCGGCCGCAGCCATGGAGGGTCTTCCTCGCTCGGTGTCCTGGAGCCCCGCGCTGCGACCCCAGGCCGGTCCCGGCTGTTCACACTTGCTCTGCCCTCTTTCTCCTTAGTCCTGGGCACCTCTGACCTTGTGCATCTCACCATCAGCAACTTCTTCGATTCCCTTAGATCATTTCCATTATTCATTCTGTCTCCTTCTCTCTGCCATTTTTCTTCCTATCTTTTTGCATCTGCAGCTTTCCACCATCTTCGTCTCCTCTTTTACTAGTTTAGTCTGAGAAGGGATATTCTAAACCATCTCTTTAGGCACCAACAGAGTGAACCATACCTGGACTTAGGGACAAGTCCTTGGAAAATGATCAAAATACTAATAGCTAATGATCATTGAAAGCTTACTATGTGCTTGCACTCTTCGAAGTGGTTTCATCTCAGTTAAGCCTCACAAGGACTCTACTAGGAAGATTCAACTAGCCCCATTTTATAAATGAGGAGACTGAGGCACAGAGAGGTTGCACCAATGAACTCTGCTTGTAAGCGTTGGAGCTGGAATAACTATAAGTCCTGTCCGTTCACGATCATATTGCATATTCGGGAAATAGTTGCTGAATAAGTGCTCCTTAATTCCAATTCCCAAGAACAGCTCATTAGGCCACACTGGGAATTGAGATGCTGAGGAATGGGTGCTCGTTGTGAGTGCCTTCCTGGGCTACCTGGGGGAGGCCTGGACAGAGCATCAGCCCCAGCGTCCCTCCCCGCCCTCTTCCTAAAGGCTGCCTAGTAGGGCAGCTCCACTGGGCCCGCGGTGAGTCAAGCTCCCAGCTCCAGGAGGAGGGGTGCAGGTGAGGCGGGCAGGCGGTACTGTACTTAACTCCGGTAGGAGGTGAGAATGGCTTGTGTTAAAGAGCGTTAAAGCCCCAGACGATCCAGAAACACCTGGGGCCGCTGCTCAAGCTCACGGCTACGGAAAGCAGTTTGCAGAGGTGCCGGTCAAGGTGCGGCACTGCCTTCCGAAACTAGGCTGTGCTGGCTCTGATTTGGGGCGGACACACGCCTTTCAGGGACTCTGGGGGAAAGGACTCCCCCAGTAAACCCTCATCACTTGGGAAATGGTTCTTGAGTCTTCCATGATGAGGCTGCGGGTTTGGTTCGGGCTACCACTGTCCACTGAAGGGGAACAGGAACCAGTTGGGAGTGGTCTTACGGGGTTCGGGGAGAAAAGACACTGTGTTGCTCTAAGCAGGCCTTGCTTCAGGCCGACGTGGATCCTGTCAGACTAGGAGGGAGGCCCTGGGGACCCTCTCGCAGGAAGACGACCCCTGTTCTGAACGGCAGCCGGCGGAGGGGTGGGGGGGGGGGGGGGGGGAAAGAAGGTGGGACGTCAAAACCGCTCCTCCGGGCTCCTGGGAGCTGGGGTAGGAGCCGCCAGGGGCCAGGCTGTGTGACCGCGGGGGCGGGGCGGAGAAGGGCGCCTCGGATTGGACGGCTCCGAGGGAAGGGCGGAGTCAGGCACGGCCAGCGGTGCAGCGGGCGCAGACCGTCTGGCGCTCCCCCTGGACCGAGGGCCGATGCAGAGATCCCGGGCGGGCGCGGAGCTGGGCGCCCCGCTAACCTAGCCGCCATCAGCTACCCCCGCCTCGTTGGCGGCATTTCAGTTTTGGCATTTCTCCCTTTATGGAGGAGTCTCTTCCTGCCGGTGAGGGTGACGTGACCGTCCTGCGCGCCGCGGCTCCGGACTTCTGGTGGTGATTTCTGTCTCCCTCGGGGACGCAGGACACTGAGGGCTCCGCCTCTCCAGACAGCCGGTCTCCAGAGTCACGGGGTCCAGAGGCGGCCGCAGCCGCGGAGGGTCTTCCTCGCTCGGTGTCCTGGAGCCCCGCGCTGCGACCCCAGGCCGGTCCCGGCTGTTCATCCGACGTGGGTTTCCCGCTATCGAAACCCAGTTCTGCCTCCTGCGGGCCCGAGCTCCCACCTCTGCTGCCGGGAGGGTGATCGGGAGGGGTGTGGGTGAGAGGGGGTGGGAGGGCTGGGAGAGACCCCTCGGGAGGGGCAGGATTCGGCCCAGAGGTCAGCAACTGAACGGGGCGGCCCCGCTGTCTTTACTTATTTTAAACGTATAGCTACTGTTTGGGGAGATGGGAAATGTTACACCAGGGGAGACAGTCCCTGCCCGTCCCCGACAATCTAGAATCCGGCGGGAGGAGGCAGGGGATCCTCATCCTTCCTGCTCTGGGCCAAGTTCATCGGTTACTTGAAAGCCTAGGCGGAGAGCCCTCGGTGTAGCCAGGTTTGGGAAGCGAGGGCAGCGCGGGACTCCGCTTGCAGTGAGCCGCGTCCTCCCCGCGGGAGGTGCACGGAAGGGACACCAGGAGTCCGGACACAGCCGCCCCCAGGAACCTAGCATTTAACGTGACGCCTCCCGCCCGCTCCCGCACCCCCAGCCTCGCTGCGCACCCTTCTCGGTCTTAGGTCCAAGCGCGCCTTTCCTCCAACAGAACCTTACTACACGAATGGAATTCCAGCCTCCAGGAGGCCAGCAAAAAAAAAAAAAAAAGATTTTCAGGGAAGATAATATTAATGTAAAACTGGCCTTTCCTTTCCGCTCTGCAAGCGCGAGCTCTGCCTGCGTCCTGACCCTCCTGGGAAAGGGGAGGCCCGGCTGCCGCAGGCAGGCACTCCCGACTCTTCAAGAGGCCGATGGTGCGCTTTCTGGCCAATGTCGTCCCCTTAATTGGGAACTGGCTCCAATCATCTGGCCTCAGCTTGTTAGCTGTACAATAGGAGGCAGAGTTAATGACTCATTAGTGATTAATTCCTTAACTGTGCCTTAATTGCTCTCTGTAAAACTCCTTTCGTTAAACTGGATTAAATAGTCTAGATCCTTGGCCACGTCTCTCACAGCCCTGCAAGACACGAAGTGGGCCGTGTTCCCTTACCTTTGGCGGGTCATCTTCTTAAAGGCAGGTGCAGTGTCACCCCTCAGCCTGGAAGTCAGGAGATCTCTGGTCCAGTCAAGGTTGTGACACTGCCTGGTCATGTGACCCCAAACAGGTCCCCCTGTACAGCTATATCTCCAAAATCTCCCTTTATCCCTCATCACCCACCATAGACTCCTGAAACAGAACACATTCTATTCTATTCTATTCTATTCTATTTTTAAAATTTGGCCCGGCCACACTGCATGCAGGATCTTAGTTCCTCGATCAGGGATAGAATCCATGTCCCCTGCATTGGGAGCGTGGAGTCTTAAACACTGGACTACCAGGGAAGTCCCCGGAACACCTCATTTTTAAAAGCAGTTCTTCTGCTCTGTACATGGTATAAGTGTGTGTGTGTGTGTTTAGGTTAGTAGGTTCTGAATGAACTGCGTAGGAGGCTACCTTCCTGTCCAAAGTGGTCTGAGAAAGTTCTTTCCGGTGCTAACAGTGGCTGGGTTCTATATTCTCCCCATTTGTACTTTAAAAACTTAGCTGTTAGTTTTTTCCACCTTCTTGATTTTCCTGTCATCTTTATCCATTCCTGAAACTTGCAAGGCGTGGTGGACATGTAATGATGAATAAACAAGAGTTTCCACCCTCAAGGGGCATAGCCTAAGTAGAGGAAACAAGAATGAAACTGTACACACGTTTGCAAGTGCCTACTGGTTTTCTCCACCTGGCGTCCCACAGGCCACCCCAAAACAGATATGTTCAAAACAAAACTGATTTGTCTTTACAGTGTGGCTTCCTAAAAACCTTCTTAAAACTCTCCTCTCTCTTTCTGCATTCGTAGCCACCCGACGGATGCGATGAAATTGTTCTTGACCCCTTGAGGCTAGATATTTTCCAGTTTCCTTTCTACCTTATTTCTCAGCCATACATCTTCCAAATCTTAGCTGCCCAGAACAGAGACATCGCCCAGCCTCCCTTTCAATTGGATATGATTAAATAATGACCAATGTCATGGAACAGAAAACAGTTTTAGGATGTAAGTTCTTAAAGGTCACCAGCATGCCCTGTTCTTGTCTCTGTCCTGTAGTCTGTTGGCTACAAGACAGGTGTGATGCTGGAGCCCCCATCTTGGACCATGTCATGAAGCCCCATGTTGAGGACATTGAGTGACATGATGGCAGGGACCACATGCGGTAAGTCCCTGACACTGGTGCACCATGCTGGCTCTTGACTGCTACCTGGGCTCTCTGTTTTAAGTCTAAGTTTTTGGTCACTGTTAGGCAAACCTAACCCTAATTCATTCATCCCTTTTCTTCAATGCCTGTAGGCAGTTAACTACTCAGCCCCATTGATTTTACTTCAGAATGTCTCTTAAATTCACCCAGTCCTGTGTTTCCAGCGAGCTCTCCAGCTCAGGGCTTTATCAACTCTCACTCAGGCTGCATGGCCTCCCATGGCATGCAATGCTTCTCATGGTCCCAGTTTATGGTTACTTCTTCGTTGATTCAGTTACCCATTACATTTATTGGACTATTTCACCATTGATTCATTTACCTATTATATATACATATATATATGTGTATATATATATATATATATTTTTTTTTTTTTTTTTTGCGGTACGCGGGCCTCTCACTGTTGCGGCCTCTCACGTTGCGGAGCACAGGCTCCGGACGCGCAGGCTCAGCGGCCATGGCTCACGGGCCCAGCCGCTCCGCGGCATGTGGGATCTTCCCGGACCGGGGCACAAGCCTGTGTCCCCTGCCTCGGCAGGCGGACTCTCAACCACTGCACCACCAGGGAAGCCCTACCTATTATATTTATTGGGTTCTCTTTTTGATAAGCTCTGGAGCTATAAAGATACAGCTTCCATATTATCTTCCTGTCCCTAAATCCTTTCAATCTGTCCTTCACATTGTAGTCAGAATTAGGTGCTTCAAATAATTCCTCTGCTTAAAACAATTCCTTATGGCTCGTGGGACAAAAGCCAAGCAGCTGATGAGTATGGCGTCTGGGCCACTTCTGAATCTGACCCGACCCATCTTTCCAGGCTTTTGTCTCTTGCCTTCCTCCTCAACCCCCTTCCCTCCTCATCCTCTGCTTAAGTGACACCAGAGTTCTCTGCATGTCACATGGTCCACCATGTGCTTTTTCACTTTATGGCTTTGAGTATGAATATTCCTTCTGCCTGGAAGGACTTCCCCCCTCCCCCACCGGCAGACTCCTTCCAGACCTGGCCCAGATGCTACTGCCTTCTGTGCAGCTGGCCTGCCTTTTTGCAACAGTCAGTTCCTTGTTCTTCTCCCCCTCCCCGAGCACTTTGTTGAGGGAGTGCTACCCCAGCACTCACCCCACAGTGATGTCCACGGCCCCAAGGGAGACTGTGGGCTCCTTGAAGGCAGCTCTCTGGTCCTGCCCTGCATATTCAGTGCCTGACCCAACAGAAGCACCCAGTAACTGATGCACAGTAACTAGTACAGGCGTATGTGAGGCCCAGAGAAAGCATTCCATCCTATAAGAGCTTATAACAAAGAATCTGCCCTAGACCACGAAGTCACAGAAGACTTCTCTGAAGAAGTGACACTCAATCTGAACTCTGAAAGGAAAACAAGTTAGCCAGGCAAGAGGAGACGGGTGGAGGTGGGCACGGCATGCGCGAAGGAGGAGGAACCAGGGCCAGGCTGACGCTCTGGAACAAGGCTGGTCTGGCAGAGGCCAAAGGAAAGAGAAAGTAAGAGTCTACGTGGCTAAAAACAATTTTAGGAGGCAAGTTCTGCATCCAACCAAGACTCATAAGGAGGGGAATTTTCCAACATAGGAAGTGTTTTCACCTGCTGGATGGCCAAAAATTAACTAATGTCTGCTATAGGTGGGGATATGGTCATTTCAAATAAATCATCTCGTCTGCAGTATGAAGAGCTGGAAAGGAGGCGAGAGAGAGTTCTAGAAGACCAGTTAGAAGGCTATTGCAGTAATTGAGGGGAAAGAGCATGAACGCCTCCTGTGGTGACAAGGAGGCCAGGTTTGAGGTTGAATGAGGAGATTGTGAGTTCAGTCTTGATCAAATGAGTTTGAGTAGAGATATTGGGTAGGCAACTCCTAGTACTGGCTTGGGGCTCAGAGCTCAGAGCAGAGCTGGCTGCTATCCGAGCTCTGAGATCGGTGCACAGATGATAATCAAAGCCATGGGCAGGGATGAGATGAGATTTGCCAAGAGAGACGGAGTGTGGAGTGAGAAGAGCAGACAGAGTCAGCCTTGAGAGGCTCCAGAGTTTCATGGACAGTGTTGGAGGAGGGCAGGGGAGTGAGAGAAGGAAGATCAGGAAAGCATGGTGACATGGAAGCTAAAGAAAGAGAGTTTCAAAAGGGAAAGAATGGGCAACAAGACTGTTAGAATTTTCAAAACTTAAAACTTAGCCAGTGATGAAACAAGG